CATGGCGGATAGGAGGCTGTACTGATGATTTCCACTCCTACCCGCATGCACTGTTTGGTCTGCGTATATAGCTAAGGGATGAAACACACAGAGACTGCGTCACAAAATCTCTTCATACACACATGACATTCAAGTGAAATCCTTCTATTCTTCTATTTCATGTCCTTGAAAGTCCATTACATAGCAAAGAAAAAAAAAAAAAATAAGTCAAAAGGCCAGAATTTTTTCCTAATCGTGGGCTACAAGAAAAATCTTAAGAGCTCCAGACGGGCCAAATCCGCGCAAATCCCCCAAATCTCTATCAAATCCGCCAAAATTCCCCCAAATCTCTATCGCTCTCTATAAAAGGGGCAAGCAAATGACTATGGTAGCCTCAAAACTGAAATACAAATTTGGGGAAAAACACAAAATTCAATGCTTTATATCTACTGAAAGTGTGAAAAGTACTAAAAATACTAACATCAATTATGTTCATGGCCGCAACAAGCCGTTTCCACGCTTCTTCCTTTGCCTCAGCTGCACCGGGTTCTGTTTCCGGGATCTGATCTGTGGACGCATCATCCATGGAATCCTCTCGCCCAGACATGCTGGGCGCTGATTCCTGAAACTGTAAACAAATTACTTTTTCTTGTTACCATAAAGCTGGGACTGTAAATACGCATGCTTGGATTCACAGATAAAAAAATACGCGAAAAAATGCGCAGTATAACAAAACATGTCAAATAATGATTTATGGTTTTATGTTAGAAATTGCGTAAGGAACAACTGCGTTACTATGATGCAATACCCCGGTTCCCGGTTCAACTTTTGGACACCCTGTCCCGTTAAGGTCTTGCAATCTTAGTGATCTCTGACCACTGAAGTATAAAAACACTTCTCCCCATTTCCGAGATACAGAGCCACTTCTTACTATTTAACCCTGTTCTGGAGAGCTTCGGCTACCCAGATCTTCACCATCCTTTTTGTATTTTTGTCCTTATCTTACTTTATGTTGCATAACATCAGTTAATGTGTATAATTATAAATACATATATACATGTATATATATATATATATATATATATGTATATATGTACGTATA